TTCATCCTGTTTCGCCTACGTTAGTATTTACAGTTACAACAATATAACAATATATTATTATTCTGTCACCACCTGTATTTTTGAAAAATTTGGAAATATAGGTAACAACTTATGAAATTTTCCTAAATCTTAAAAATTTATTTTGAGTTAATTTAAAAAATGGAGGCGCCTTGTATCGATCCCGGTACGTCAAAAATCCAGTCAAGAGATCGCACCCATTAAGACTAACAATGTAACCACTTGTTAAATACTTAGCCCTTCTGTTCAATTCATTTAAATAACTCTTGTGCAATATGTTCTTTACCCTTGCAATCCTAACAGATTAATAATTCATAAACATATAGTGATCTATCCCGAATCTTATCTCGGGAGAGCAGCTTTCTAAGCCATGAATATTCCTATACATGTCAAGAATTTTAATCCTAACATCCAATTTATTCAACCTCCAATATCAATCTGTTTGTTTTCTGTGCTCGAAATTTTTCGTTTTTATGTTTGTAACTCTTTGTGTACCCATGTGAATCACTTTTTTATTACCTGTAATCGTCATACAAAACTTTCTGATGTATAATGTACTGGTGTCAGCAATCGGTGAAGTGTTATGTGTTGCTGTTGGCTTTGTGAATGAAATTCCAAAATGGAGGCGCCGGGTACCGATCCCGGTACCTCTCGCATGCTAGGCGAGCGCTCTACCATCTGAGCTACGCCCCCTTCTGTCCATGTTTTCTTATTTGCACTCAAAAGGAATTACTGGCATCATTTAGTAAACGAAAAATGCTGTAGCTGTCTGGTTTTTGAATGAATTTCCAAAATGGAGGCGCCGGATATCGATCCCGGTACCTTCCTTCCAATTATCTCACTCAGGAGCAGCTGCGGCTAGAGGACAGAGGCAACGCAGACAACCATATTCGGCTGTTCACGGATGGCTCAAAGACACAGAATGGTGTGGGAGCGGCCTTCTGTGTCATGGAAGATGGGATGCTCACACATCGCTGGTCTACAAAACCCAGAGATGAAAACACCGTCTTCCAAGCCGAGCTTCTAGCTCTTAAAGAAGCCATTCAATACGCCACCTACATCACCTCCCATCAGCCCATCAAAATCCTCACTGATAACAAAGCCAGCATCCAAGCCTCCACCAACCCAAAGACCCCCATGCAACAGCTCGACAACTCTTCTTCGAGACCCTCCTGGACAACTCTCAAATAGAGTTGCAATGGATAAAGGCGCACGCGGGAAACTTGGACAACGAAACAGCAGACCAACTATCAAAAGAGGCAGCACAGTCCGACGTGACACCATTGATCATCAAGCTCGCTAAATGTCATCTCAAGAATGTACTAAGAGCAATGATGATCAACGCATGGCAAAAGAATTGGAATGAAGGTAAAACAGGAAGGAAAGTCCACGACATCCTGCCGAAAGTCTCTCTTTCACCTTCCATCTGGGGCAGAGCCGAAGTGCTGTTCTTCACAGGCCACAGCCCATTCCAATACATCCTTAAAAGGTTCCACCTGTCCCACACATCAAACTACAGCTGTGGCGAAGAGGGCACCCCAATTCACTATGCAACAGATTGCAACCTGACGTCATCATGGCATATGACGAAACCTAACGCTCATTTTGAGAAAGAATGGTACAGAAGCGTAACCTCTAACCAATTATCCCGCAACAAAATCCGTGCTATCATTGCCCACATCACTAACTACACTGACATCTTCAGACCAGACCCGCCGTAGCCTCTCCTGCTCACATACCAGCCTTCTATTCCTGGTTTCCCCGTTTTCATCATCTTCGCATTCACCAACTGTGACTTTGTATTCATCATCCTCTTTTTACCATATTAGTCCAAATGGAATTGCTCCCAATCTTCCAAAGAACAGAAATTTTTAGACTGCCACTCAGTCATTGGTCGCATATTTTGTTTGGAGATCACCTAAGTTTTGTTCTTCTCTCTATTGAAATGTTATTACACTTATTTGCTTTATTTATTTATTTTTTTCATGTTTTTCATGTCAAAATTTCCTATCAATAATATCCATAATGATAATAGTCCCACATCCTGTTAGGGTACTGCATCTCTTAAGACTAACTATGTAACCACTTTTTAAATATTTAGACTTCCTGTTCAATTCATCTCAACTACTCTTGTATAACATGTTCTTCGCCGTGCAAATCTTGATGATTACTAATTCCTGTACTACTAATAAACGACCACGAATCTTGTATGGGGACTAAACAATCTAAACTAACAATGTGGATACATGTCAAGAATATTAATCCTACCAGCCAATTTATATAACCTGCAATATCATTCTGTGCGCGAAATTGTTTGTTTGTTTTTCTGTTTGCTACTGTTTGTGTTTTATGTGTTTGTGTATGCACTTATGTTATTCAAGATTTATTACCTGTTACCCTCATGTAAAATTTACTTTCGGATTCATAAATAAAGTATTGATGGGGATGCTGGCCCTGCGTAAGGTTTTATTCTCCTTTCCACTCCATGCTCATCAGGCTGGTGGGATGGCCCTGGAGGTTATGGGCATCGGGGGCATGGGGTGGCGTTAATGCTAGGCAAGCGCTCTACCACCTCAGCTACGCCCCCTTCTGTCAATGTCTTCTAATTTGCACTCAAAAGTAGTTACTGACATCATTTAGTAAACAAAAGATATTGCAGCTGTTGGCTTTCTGACTGAAATTCCAAAATGGAGGCGCCGGGTATCGATCCCGGTACCTCTCGCATGCTAAGCGAGCGCTCTACCATCTGAGCTACGCCCCCTTCGATGTGCTTCTCATGATATGCATTCAAAAGGAATTACTGACATCCTTTAGTAAACAAAAGATGCTGTAGCTGTTGGGTTGGTGTTGGCTTTCTGGTGGGGTGTTCAAAATGGGCGCCGGGTATCGATCGGTACCTCGCATGCTAAGCGGCGCTCTGCATCTGAGCTTCGCCCCCTTCTGTCGTTGATATTCCTAAATTTTCACTCAAAAAGAAGCAGTTACTGACATCATTTAATAAGAAAGAGGGCTGTAGCTGTTGGCTTTCACAGGTGAAATTCAAATAAGGAGGTTATGGGTATCGATCGGTACCTCTCGCATCTTAAAACGAGCACTCTACTCTGAGCTGCCCCCTTCTGTCGATGTCATTTCTATTTCACTCAAGCAGTTGACATCATTTAGTTAAGAAAGAAGCTGTAGCTGTTGGCTTTCTGGTGAAATTCCAAAATGGGCATAGAATCGATCGAGGCCTCTCGCATGCTAAGCGAGCGCTCTACCATCTGAGCGCCCCCCTTCTGTCGTTTGTCTTCCAATTTTCATAAAGCAGTTACTGACATCATTTAGCTAGAAGGAGCTGGCAGCTGTTGGCTTTCTGAGATAATTCCAAAATGGAGGCGCCGGGTATCGATCCGGTACCTCTCGCATGCTAAGCAGGCGCTCTACCATCTGAGCTACGCCCCTTCTGTCGTTGTCTTTAATTTTCTCCAAAACGGTTACTGACATCATTTGTAAGAAAGGGGCTGTAGCTGTTGGCTCTAGTGAAATTCAAAATAAGGTGCCGGGTATCGATCCCGGTACCTCTCGCATGCTAGGCGAGCACTCTACCATCTGAGCCGCCCCTTCTGTCGATGTCTTCTGTTTTCACTCAAAAGCGATTTACTGACATCATTGAAAGTTGAAAGAAGCTGTAGCTGTTGGCTTTCTGAGTGAGGGTAAAATGGAGGCGCCGGGTATCATTCCGGTACCTCTCACGCTAACGGCGCTCTACCATCTGAGCTACGCCCCCCCTTCTGTCGTTGATATTTCCTGAATTTTCACTCAAAACGTTGACATCATTTAGCTAAGAAAGGAGCTGGCAGCTGTTGGCTTTCTGAATGAAATTCCAAAATGGGAGGCGCCGGGTATCGATCCCGTGCCTCTCGCTTCCATTTTGTTCACTCCGAAGCTTTCCAACAGCCAACTATTTCTTAATTTAAATGATGTCATTAACAGTGAAAGTGGTACATCGACGTAACTCAGGCTCGACAAGTGCTTTCGCCTTTGCGAGAGGCTGGGACATCTGGCTATATTCGGAGCACAACTCGGCCTTCCTAACTGGCCCAAGTGATGATAAATTGCTTTTTTTGTGAAGATTCTTTATTGAGAACTTTCGAGGAAACACCGGATCGTCTCTTGGACCGTTGCCCGGCGCGCCGCGAATTTCATGTGGCTTTTCTTAACTTCAAATGATGATGGTGGCCAGAAAACCGAACGTCGTTGAGGGCAGCATCTCTTGCTGCGAGGTGCGGGATCGGCCTCGCTGAATTTCACCTAAGAAACCAGCTCCCGGCTTCTTTCTTCGTGATGATAAACGGCCACTTTTTTTGACCAGGCATCGGGCATCGACGAAAGGGCGCTCCAGTGACAGGCGCTACGGCGGCGGGATCGTCACCCGGCATATTTTGGTAATTCGAAGCCCTTCCCGGCTCACTGGCGAAAATGATGACAAATGACTTTACGTGGTCGAAGACGACAGAAGGGGCGTGGCTCGAAGATGACAGAGCGGCATAAGCCAGCATCGGATCGTGCAGCATCGCCCTGGAGGCTAAATTCGAAAGCCAGCGGTTACGACTTCTTTTCTTAACTAAATGATAAATGTTCTTTTGATTAATCAAAGACATTGCTGAGGGGCGTATCGTGGTAGGCAGCAGACGCCGGGATCGACCCGGCATCCTCCATTTTAATTTCTTTCAGCCGGCAATACAGCTCTTTCTTAACTGAAGCGTCGTCATTTGATTGAAAGTGAAAGATCGACAGGCTCGAGGGAGACAGCTCGACTTTGACGAAACAAACGCTGAGTACTGGGATCGTTACACTGTTTCCTCCGTATTTCACTCGAAGCGCAGCCAGCTTCTTTTGTAAATGATGATGACATACTTTGATGAGCGTAGAAGACATCGTTGAAGAGGCGTGGCTCCGATAAGGCGCTCATATGCGAAGGTACCGGATCTGAAGCCCGGCGGCTACAACTCCTACATTGAAATGTCGGTAACTGCGCAGTGGTCAGAAGACATCGTGAGACATGTAACTCAGATGACCAGGCAAGCAACAACGGTGAATAGGCGCCTGCGATTTCAACAGCTTGTCGCCCAGAAATGATCGTATGATGGTGAAGGGCATTATCAGATGGTGAAGCATGCTGCTGTGCGAAGGGCGCCGGGACGGCGCCTCAGCTGCTCAAACCGCGTAACTATTTAAATGATGATAAAATCTTTGGTGGTGAGGTCGATGGTGGGGCGCTTTCTTTAACGTATGCCAGCGCTCATACGTTTCTCGAAGCGCGGCAGCCCCAGCCTATTGGCGGAAATGATGATAAGTAAACGCTTTTGGTGAAAGAGCAGAAGACGCGGCTGATGGGGCAATAAATGAAACGCTAAACGGCGTACGAGAACGCCGGCTGGAATTTCGGCAACTACCTTCTTAACCAAATGATCAAATGTGCACGGTCAAGCATCGTGGGGAGACAACTCGAATGACGCTCAACAGCATGCGAGCGGGATCGACTGCAGCATACGAACAACCGGGCTGGCAGCTCTTTTATAAACTTCAAGCTGGTCGTTTATTTCTTTTGATTGCTGGCTCACCCAATTTCGCTCAGAGAAAGCCAGCTATTACAACTTCTTTCTTAACTAAATGATGTCGTGGCTTTAACGATTGAAGGTAAGACATCAGAAATCAGCAGGCTCTCTTAACACGTAGAGGTACTGGGATCTGCATTTTACCATTTTGAGGAATATCAGAAGCCGGCAGCCTGACTTTCTTTCTTAACAAATGATGTCGTGACAGTGAAAACGTCGTGAGAAAGAGCATGTTGGGAAGCGCTCGCTTTAACGCGGGAATCGTGCTACGCCTCAACACGGAGATTTCGTTCAGAAGCCAGCAGCCAGCTCCTCGCAACTGAAGTGGGTAACTGACGTTATTACAGAAGGACGTGACGGCAGCCTAAGCAGCGGCGTTGCGGGATGTCTGACGCCTCGCCTGCTCGGAAAACCAGCAGTTACAACAAATGATGATGATATACTTTTGATGAAAAGACCAAACTGTACGAAGGGCGTAACTCATGCCATGCGGTGCAGGATGGTACCGGCGCCTCGACTGCTAAGCAAATGATAATCGTCTTTTGATGAAGACATCGATCGAATGTTGACGCTTTAAACATGCGAGAGGTACTGGATCGACCCGCGCTTCGGGGCTTCATTCGAAGCCAGCAGCCCAGCTCTCTCAACTAGTGATGTCGGCTGGCAGAAGTAAACAGCATACGGTGGTGCCCGGCGCCTCCATTTGAATTTCAATTCGAAGCGCCAGCCTGCTGGCAAATCGATGATAAAGCCAACGTGAAAAGTGAAGACAACCACGAAGGGGCGTGTCAAAATGATAGGCGTAGCACCTGCGGGATCGACGCCTTCATTCACTCGAAAACCAGCGTTACAGCTTCTTTTCTGATGATCATTGCGCAGTAAGTGAAAGGGAGACTCAGGCACTTCGCGTACCCTCAGAAAGCCAGCTTGTCTTTTTCTTAACAATGATGTCGTAACCTTTTGAATGGTATCGTGAATGGTAAGTCAGCTCCAGGCGGCAACAAGCAGGGAACGCCGGGATCGTGCCGGCGCCTCCATTTGAGTGCTCGAAGGCGGCAGCCTCTTTCTTAACAAATGATAAATGACTCACGGTGGTGACAAGACGTCGACGAAGAGAGGCACCGATGACGCAAGCAGCATAAGAGCTGGGATCATTGCGCAATGGTATGAAACAACCTTTGACAGTAGAAAGACTCGACGAAGAACTCGCTCATGCTGGATTAATGCCGGTAATTTCATTCAAATATTTATCGCGCCCAAATATTCGTGCTCTTTTGATAAGACGGCACCACAGGGGGCGTAGCTCGAATGACGACGCTCGCTTAACTAGGGTGCCGGGATTGCCCGGCATTCACTCAGAAAACCAGCAGCTACGCTTCTTTATCGTGTCGGTAACTTGCTGGTGAAGACATCATTTGGGGGCGTGACTCGAATGATGACATCGCGCTTAACATCGGTACCGGGATCGTTACCGGCACCTCCATTTAATTCAGAAAGCGGCTGACCAGCCACTAACAGCTGAAGCGATGTCTGCGAATGATGAAGACGGCACGGGGGAGCAACTCGAATGACGAAACTAACATGCGGATCATCACCGGCATCATTTACAATTTCGCCAAGCCAGCGAGCAATATTTCTTAACTAAATGATGTCGGTAACTTGCAATGAAATAGAAGACATCATTGAAAGGGCAATGACAGAAGTGCTACTTTATCACGAGGAGATATACCCTCCGACCACGAATTTCACTCAGAGAAAACCAACAGCCAGCCTCTCGCCAGCAAGTGATAATCGTGATGAATAATTTCTTTGAAGAAGGGCAACTCCAGATATTGGTATAAACTTGTGAACGGATCGATGTACCTTTCGTCGAGCAGCGCAACCCAGCTTCTTTTGTAAATGATGTCGTGGCACTATGTTTGACGAAAATGGTATCGACAGAGAACGTATCAGATATGGCTGCGGGAATGCTGGGATCGACCCGCGCCTATTTAATTTCACTCAGAAAACCGGCAGCTAACGCCCAACTAAGCAGTCGTGGCAGTGAACAAATGGGCGAAGGGCGTAATGGATACCCGATATTCGAAGCGGCTTCCCGGCTGCCCAGCTGAAGCGAACGTCGGGCAGAAAGTCGATGTTGAAACTTTAAACCCGTATGCCCGACACCCATTGAATTTCGTCGAAAGCTGGCGGCCCACGACTCTGGCAAATGATGTCGGCGACTGCTTTTTGATGAATTGGCTTAGGGGCGTAATCATGACAGGCAGCTAAGCGGCATCTGCCCGGCGCTTACTCGAATTTCACTCGAAACCCGGCAGCACAGCACTTCTTTCTTAACTTAAATGATGGTAACGCGCAGTGGTAAAGACATCGGGGGCGTAACTCGAGCTTCCGTGGCAGTGCCGGGATCATTCACCCGGCGCACTATTTTGATTTCATTCGAAGCCGGCATTCCTTCACTTTTCTTGTGAAGTGATGCTCGGTGACTACTTTGATGAAGATAAGACACTGGCTGACAGAAAGGGGCGTATCGACAAACTCTGCTGGCGAGGAGACGCCGGGATCGATACCCGGCACCTGGGCTAAAGCCAACGGCTGGCTTAACTTTAAATGATGTCGGTAACAACAGTGAAAGGGTAGACATCAAGAAGGGCGTATCAGATGATATGCGCCTAACTC